TTTTTGACTTTCCACTCTGCAGTGGCCCCTGAGACTTCCTGGTGGTCTCCTATCCAAGCCAAGCCAACTCTCTTTACCTTCTTCACCTGAGATCGAGTAGATGCTGCCCCCTAGCTGGGCCTTCCCTATCTGGTAAATACATTAGCCTACAACTCCCATCAACAATCCTGAAGATCACTGATGGGAAGCGCAGGTCAACCTATCTAGAGGGCGCCCGATTGGGGATGGGCTGCGAGACCGCGAAAGCAGTCACGCGAAATGCCACCCGCGCAGGCGCAAGCGAAGCTGGCAGGCGGGGGCTCCACGGCATGGACGCGGTCAATCAAAGACCGGGGGTTGGGAACGATGTCAATCAACGGCAAGGGGCGGGGACGACGGAGCGGGTTTGCCTGCGGCTCGGAGCGGGCCTTTCCGGAACGCGAGGGGCGGTGCTCCTCGGGCCCGCGCGGGCCCGCTCGGCTTCCGTAGATCTCTCGGTCGTCATGGAGATGAGCGCGCGCGCTGCGTTGCTAGGAGACGGGAGACGCGGGAAACGGGGCAGCGGCAGGGAAAAGGGAAGCGGGCGGGGGAGGAAGCGGCTCACCTTGGAGCTTCCATGGGCGGACGCAGTCTACCCCTGGAAACCAAGCGCCACGGGGCAGCGGCATCTGGGTGGCAACTGCTCGGTCGCCTAGGTCTTCCATGCCAACAGGGACGCCACGGAGCCTAATCTGAGACCAAGCTCTGGAATAAAATCCTGGCTCACGTGACGCTCAGCCCTCGTGCATTTCGCTTGGGACGGGAGGGACGTGCAATATATCCGGGGGGGGGGGGGCTTTTGCTTCCTTCCTTCCAAGGGATTTAAACTTAATTCAGTTTTAAATTAAATTTAAATTTTATTTTATTCGATGTGATATGACTCAGGGCGGTTTACCAAATCCACAAAAAAGCAGTTTTCGGGTTGCTGTTGGGGACACAGGGGGAGGGAGGAGGTGAGGCTGTGGGGCGCCCCTCTGTTGTGGGCTGTCGCCCCTGTTTGGGGGCTTTGCTTCTGAATCCCCAGGAGGCGGCGATGCTATTTGGGGTTAGGGGAATTCATCTCCCTATTTATTTATTTGGTAAATTTGTATAGCCGCCCATCTCACCTCTGTGACTGTGAACAGCCTACAAAGTTAAAAACA